TGTTACGCTACACTTTTCAGGCTCAGATCCACTCTTTAAAGCTCAATGTCTGAGCAGTTTTTTATTTGTTCCCGTGTTTTCCCTGAGAAAACTCATGTTGTACTGCTGAATCGGAACAAACAGTGATCCACGAAAAACCTGATTGTCATTTGTTCCGATTCCACAATAAAACATGGGTTTTCCTAGGGAAAGTGCCAGGACAAAAAAAGCAGCTCTTACACAGAGCTTTTGAAACCTGGACCTGTGTCGCAAAACATGGTGCAAAAGGAAGTCTGGATGAGCCTGTGTCTCCTGGTGCTGTCTATTCCTGAGATCCACGATTCCTTACATGTTCCTTGTTTTTATTACTTTGCTGTTTTTTCAAGAAAGCATTTAATGTATTTAAAAAACAAGTTTCCTCTTAACATTTTTACTAGTTTAGGGATCAAAGCAAGCCTTTGCTAAGTGCCTTTTTCATGTTGCTGTCTGCGTTCTGTCTATGTAACTTCTGAACTGTGTTGGATACATATCTCAGACGTATGTGCAATAAACTTTGTGGAATTAACCAAACCCATGTGTCCCCAAGGCACATTTCTGACTGTTCCCAAGTAATAACATTGCACACCTTCTGATTGCTCTTCTATAAGCTTCTTAAGCAGAACTATCAGGGAATGTAGTGTGATAATGGCCCCAAGGCTCTTCAGCTTAGAAGCAGGAGCACAAGTTGTCTATCAGAGCAATAATGCTAACATCCCTGGTATGGATTCAGGCGAGTTGCACTTGCCTGGCACATAGCAGTGTTACAGAATCTGTAGTCACCTGGATGTGCAGATATCAAAAAGGAAACAAGTACAAGCATAACAAAACTTTCCCCATATTTTCTGCCCAAGTTTCCCTTTGGACTTTACAGCAGCGATGTGACAAGTTTATTTTTTAAAAGGGATTGTATCTCCTGCTGGTCATGTTCAAGGTGGGTAAGATTTTTTTTAAAAAAGAAACAAACCCCAAATCATTTTAAAACATATGACTTGCCAAATTAAATCCACCACCCAAGAGCACTTCAGCACACATATTCGCAAAAGCCCCGTGGATTTAACCTTTGGATTGGATTTGGAAGTGACTCAGCAACCAATTCAAGGAGTTTTGTATCAGAATTTTAAGTTCTGGCTTTCTGGTTTCACTCAGTGTTATGGCAGCTGCATTTTGCACCATCTGAATTTTCTGAACAATCTTAAAGGCATCTCATGCATTACATGAGTGGTCCAATCTGGATGAAGGTAAGGCATGTATGACTGTGGCCAAATCTGATCTATCCAAAGAGAGGTGCGCTCTTGGCCATGACTGTCTCCTGAGCAGCCAAGAGAACTTCTGCAGATCTGCTCAACTAACGATCTGCTATCAATGTGTAGAGCAGTGTTTCCCAACCGGTGTTCCGCGGCACACTAGTGTGCCGCGATATGTTGCCTGGTGTGCCGCGAGATGTTGCCTGGAGGGAGGCGGGCGAGGGCGTTTGCTTCCGGGAGGACAGAGCGAGGCGCCCCCTGCTGGGCCGGGGCTCGCTCTCCCCAGAGGGTAAATCTGGATCAAATGGGGCGAGGGGCGGGCAGAATTCTGGGGGCCACTGATGCCCTACAGACCCCCCAAGTCCTCCGGGGCGCGCGCTCTGCTGGGCTCTTTTCGGTCGTCGTGCTTGTGGGAAGCCGCCCCTTCCCTGGGCGACGCGCCGCCTCGCGACTCCGGAGTCAGTCCTGCGGGCTCTCGGAGGGACTCGCGAGCGACGGCGCGGCGGCTCCGGGGCGCGCTCAGCCGGGCCGCCGCGCGCCCCCGCGCAGCCCCTGCTGCAGCTGCCCGGCGTGGAGCGCGACGCGGAGCCGGCCGGGCTTGGAGGCGCCCAGGTAGGGCCGAGCCGGGTGGGGGCGGGGAGGTCTCGGTCTGCTGCGGGCGCAGGAGGGGGAGCGGGAGAGGGGGAGCCGTCGGGTCTCCTGGAAGGAAGCGAGGCGGCGGCTGAGGGGGATGCAGCCCCGTCCCCAGCAACAGGCGCTCCTCGAAGTGAGGCCACAAGTCGGGGCTCGGACAGGGCCTGGAAGCAGCGGCTCCGGCTCTTGGGAAGGGGACTTCGAAAGCGGCCTGGAGGAGAAAAGCCCCGATGCAGCGAGAGTGGGGAGCGTGCTGCCTTGTCCAGGCCTCCTCGCTTTGTGCCGTCCGCTGCCGGGAGCAGGACACGGGGGCTCCTCGTTCGCATGCTTTCCCGGGTGATCGGTGAGGGTTAGGGTTAGGGTTAGGGTTAGGGTCCCTCAGTCCCTCGCTTTGCTGCCTCCTCCCCCCCCACCCCCAAAGCTTGGAGGTTCCCCGGCAAGGGGGAGGGAAAAAAATTGAAAGTTACACTTTCGTGCGTCCCTCCCGGCGTGACGCTGCGCGCTGACGTCACGGGGCTGTAATGGTGGTGTGCCTCGATATTTTTTTCATCAAACAAGTGTGCCTTTGCCCAAAAAAGGTTGGGAAACACTGGTGTAGAGACCCACTTGTGTGGGATTGCAAAGGCAAAGGCAAGGAAGAGACCTCAGCTCAATGAGCCACAAGTTGTGTATTCCTCTGATGTCTAAGGATGATGTAAGATCAGAAGCTGCTCAGAGTGGGCACACGGTGAAAAACATGTGTCAGTTGTGCATTAGAGGCCCACATAGCCCAAGCAAGTGACTTTTCAGTGTAAATTTTTAAAAAAACCATTTCTGAAGGGTAAAGCAGTATTGATTTTCAAACAGTGGGCACCAATGTTTCATAATGGTCACTCATAAATTACAGGTGTTTTTCCCAAGATAAGCAAAATTTATTATCTGCATCTCTTGAGATGTGTATGCTAGAGTTAAGTCCTTGAAAAGCTTCAAAAATCTCATTATCAAGCTATCAAGTTTGCGAATATGAAATACTACATAGGGGAGTTTAGTGCTGTGGATTCGCATAGCTGTGCATGAACTTGCATGAGTCTCCATTGTCATTTCCGTTGGCCTCAGATAAAAATGGATTATACCTTCTACCTTTTGTAGGTATGAGATGAGTGATGGGATGGGATGCGAAAATCAGAGGCATATCAGTTAGATGGTGCCTGTCAAAAGAGCTAGTAAACAATCTTTTTTGCTTGTGATAGTATCAGTCAGAGGAATCACACCAGTTCTGAGAATGTTGGTGATTTGTTCTGCACATAGCATTGCAGTTTTGCATCTATGAAATGATTAACTAATTTCGATGAGATTAAGCGGCTTTGTCCTTTTGGCTCCAGATCTCCATTTTTGCTTTCATTTGCCTCCAGTTTCAGCTTTTAGCAACAAACCACAAAGCTGCTTTTTAAAAATATTTAGAGAATGCAAAGAGAGGAAACTTATTTAAAAGCCATTAATTACTAGAAACTACTGTTTCTGTACGCGTGACGCGGGTGGCGCTGTGGGTAAAACCTCAGCGCTTAGGGCTTGCCGATCGCATGGTCGGCGGTTCGAATCCCCGCAGCGGGGTGAGCTCCCGTCTTTCGGTCCCAGCTCCTGCCCACCTAGCAGTTCGAAAGCACTCTTAAGTGCAAGTAGATAAATAGGTACCGCTTTCTAGCGGGAAGGTAAACGGCGTTTCCGTGTGCTGCGCTGGTGCAGGCTCGCCAGAGCAGCTTCGTCACGCTGGCCACATGACCTGGAAGTGTCTCCGGACAGCGCTGCCCCCCCGGCCTCTTAAGTGAGATGGGCGCACAACCCTAGAGTCGGACACAACTGGCCCGTACGGGCAGGGGTACCTTTACCTTTACTGTTTCTGTACTGTGACATGGGTGGCGCTGTGGGTTAAACCACAGAGCCTCTTGGGCTTGCCGATCAGAAGGTCGGCAGTTCAAATCCCCGCAACGGGGTGAGCTTCCGTTGCTCGGTCCCAGCTCCTGCCAACCTAGCAGTTTGAAAGCACGAAGTGCAAGTAGATAAATAGGTACCGCTCCGGCGGGAAGGTAAACAGCATTTCCGTGCGCTGCTCTGGTTCGCCAGAAGCGGCTTAGTCATGCTGGCCACATGACCCAGAAGCTGTCTGCGGACAAACGCCATCTCCCTCGGCCTATAGAGCGAGATGAGTGCCGCAACCCCAGAGTCATCCACGACCAGAACTAATGGTCAGGAGTCCCTTTACCTTTACCTTATTGTGCTGAATAAATATATGAAAGTACCACATGTGCGTGGCTGTTTTCAGATAATCATATCTTGGCTTAATAAACAGAAATATGAATTACACATTTGACCCCCACCCCCACCCACCTCCAGTCTCTTCTCTTTTCTTGGCAGGTAGCAGTTAAACCTGAAAGTCTTAAATTAACCATAGTTCCAAATTTCATCCAAACTATGAAACGATGGTTATCTGGAACAAACTAGGGGTCAGCTGTACCAGGGGTCTCCCTGGAGGAGAAGCAGGACCCCCCCCTCAGCAGATCTCCAACTGTCAGTCACCTGAAGAGCCAGTGGAGCTGGACATCCGTGCCCTAGACTGGAGCTCCACATGCACGTGGTCTGGGTTCCTGGCCAACACTCAGAGCACCACCCCTCTCCAAGGCTACAGGAGGAGAGGAAATGTCATGTCAGACAGGAGCTTAAGGGCCACCACAAAAAAGCTTGGTCACTAACACATGAAGCTACATGGGGAAGCTGTTGCCAAAACGTTTATTGGCCATTCCTGCATCAGAGGGCAGAATTGTTTCTGCATTTGCAGCAGTTGCTTGTCTGAGATCTTAGGATGCAAAAATTGCATTTGTAAAATGAGATTTATCACAAGCTGAGTTGATGCTCTGCTTCCCTGTTTTAGTATTCACATAATAAAATGTGCTGGTTTTTTCCCTCTTTTTTCTTCAGTCACCCTAATTTATGGGACAAGGAAATAAAACTTTACCAGTTTCTGCAGGAAATGAATAAATCTTGCATTTATAAACAGTTTAAAAAACCCCAACCCCCTCTGGAAATTGAGTCGTTTTAAATCTGCGTTTGGCTTTTTTTTTCTTCTTCCAGGAGGATATGGATCACAATTATTATACTTCAAGGACATATGGCCCATTTGATTCTACCAGCCGAGATCTGTGGGTGAACATTGACAAAATGGAGAAAGATAAAGTGAAAATTCATGGGATCCTCTCCAACACACACCGGCAAGCTGCAGTAAGGCATTTGATATGCATTGCTATTTAATCTTATGTTGTTGTTGACATCTTGGCTCCCTCTGTGATACACAGCAGGCCATTGAAAGAAATGGGAAGACTCAAACCTGCAATGGCTGGCTGTGTCCTCTCCCTCCACTGTCAGAGGCAGTCTGCTTCTGAATACAGTTACTGGAAACCACAGGAGGAGAATGTTGTTGTGCTCAGGCCCTGTCTGCAGGCCTCCCATTGGCATCTGTGGCAGCTGTGAAAAAGGGAAACTGGATGGGATGGGCAATTGGCCTCATCTAGCAAACTCTTCTTAGGTCCCTATATTACATTAGAGGTGACAGCATTGCTAGACCATTGCTTTACCAGAATGGATTGAGAGGCTGGGAATTATTTTTCATTATGCGAAATCATAATCGTAACCATAACAGTTGTGATATTGTGCCAGGGAAGAAGGCTAGTTTACAGGCAAAATAGATTTGGTGGCTTGCAAAGGATTTAATGATTATTAAGCTTTTTGCTTTTAACGCTTGTGGGATTTCTAAAGTTGAAATGGCCTCCTTTTTTAAAAAAGATATATCCCCACTTGGTGGTTGGTTATTGTTTTTTGTTTTACCTCGGGCATCAACACACTATAATGTGTGTAGAATAATTGTTAGTCCAGGGTGTTCACCTCTGAACCTATAGCTCAGATCTGTAACTGGTTCTATGGTGTGTGTTTTTTGTGGGTTTCCCCACATTACTTTAAAATGCCCGGCATATGTGCCTGTAGGATTATATTTCCCTCAGAAAACCTTACTCCAGTGTCAATGAGCATTAAATCTCTCAACAGACCTGCAGCAGTATTATAAAATGCCTTGGGAGGGAAAATATATGTAATCTTGGTGTCATTCAAGTCAGTGGCTGTTTTGCCATCGAGTTCACTTGACAGGCGAATTATCTTACAAATTGACTAGCTTAACTGCCATATTTAGAACTAAAATGTAGCAGCCCTGTATTTACCCTTTAGATTTGTATGAGGAGCCGTGGTACCTGAGTTTCTGAGAACTATTAGATCCTTGTCAAAATATTGTTGTTTTTCAGCTGTTGATTCTTGTCAAATGATAACAGAGGTGGCAGGTATAATTCCATTTCCACATCAAAGATCTGTGTTGGTTAATTCTGATCACGCACTCCTTGTAGCGAGAATGCTAAACTAAGCCGCTACCTTACAAGTATAATTGGATGCTGTAAGACTTCCAAAATGGTATTCCCACAGCTGACCTGAGCACTGGAAGCTCCTGGAAGAAAAGAATCAGTACTGACCTTAAAGGGGATGTAAATTCCGTAGCAAAAATGACAACTCCATTGTCGTGTGATGGAATGGATTTTTGCTCTATTGGTCTGAAGACCAATCGGATGGAATTCTGACACCGGGGGGGGGGGGGAGTCAAAGTAAATAGCTTTAAGGGATAGTTCGTGAAGTCTTAAAAATGCAGAAGAAAGTATTTGCAGTTGAGAGGACGAGCGGAAAAGAAATAAGGGAGTTAGAAGAATTCTGCTCTCCATTGGGTTGTGTCATATCATTTCCCAGGACCAATAAACTCACCAACCAGGTGACAGGCTGAGAGAAGAGCAGTAGATGGAAGAGAATCTCTGTAGGATTCAAGAGGAGAGGGAGGTAATAAACCCTCCAGATTTAGACTGACACAACATAATTTATAGAAGCTCTCTTTTCCCAGCCAAACTGAAAAGAATAGCTAATAAATGGATGGAGCAAAGTGGAAATGCTGGAGTCTGGCAGTTTCCTGAGTTAAGAATGGACCTAATACAGCACAGTATCAGTTATATGAGATTTCTAGACATGGTTGGGTGTTTAATAAAAAGCAAGCTCTGCTACAAATAAGGATGCTTAATGGTATGGCTATTCTGCCAACACATCTTTTCATGAGCACTCTTGGAAAGCGAATTGGGAAAGAGATGAAGAGCAAGATGAAAAAGCAATGACGTTTTCGTCAAAGGAATTGCAACCATTTTTGCAGGCCTGCCTCTCTTTTCCAAGCCAAAACCATGCAGCCCAGCATACTTGACCCAAAGTTAAATAATACTGAATTCAGATGAGTTGTGGGAACAATTAAGTTGCAAGGATTGTTCCAATGATTTGCATTTTGAAGGCCTTTGTGAGGAGTGTAAAGCTAAACATGAGCTAGAGCAGCCTAAAAATAAGAAACCAATGTGATGAGGATGAGGGAGTACGACAAGAACTTGTGAATTAACAGGCACAATCTGAGAGTGCTGTTGTGACTCATCGGTATATAATACATATGCATAGAGAATTCGTTCTGTTGAAGTGAGAGATTATAGGGACATAAATTACGGCGTATATTGGAGTTTGCTGATGCAGCCAAAAGCTTGTATGAATACAGAGGTGCTGTTCTGACTCACGATCAGAGGATTTGGGCACTCGTGATCTTCTTTACATCAGCCTGCATGTTTGCTTGTTGGCACTAAGCCATGGCTTGGCTTAGCGTTGCGTGCGAATGGTATAAATGTGTTTGTTTTCCTCATTTTAATGAGAAACGTTAGTAATTATATTAACTCTTTAGCTGTAAATTAAAAGGCCATTGATTGTTGTAGCTGTCCAATTAAGTTGCTGGGAATTGGAACTGACGACCGCTTTGGTTAGTAGTGTTTTTGCTCACATGAGTAGCCCTGTAAGTCTCCATCCAAAGGGGAAAGGGGGGAGAACACTGGCCCTGCTAATATCCAATTTGCTTTCATATGGTGACTTATTTTAGATTAATTGCATATGCAGCATGTTTTGAAATGGGGCCTGGAGCATGAACATTGACAAGAGAAGGGGAACGGCAATGGGAGGGAGCTGTTGCTCTCCTGTCCTGGTTGTATGCTTCCCATAGGCATCTGATTGGCCTCTGAGATGAGCAAGATGCTGGGCTACATAGACCTTTGGCGTGATCTTCATGTGTCCCTTTGGAAATAGAGGCAAAGGCCAGCAGATATGGGGGGCTATGGAAACAGATGGGGCAGGGACTTGGTACCTGTCCTCTACTAAGAACATAAGGCCCTGCCGGATCAAGCCAATGACCCATTGAGCCGAGTTTCCTATTCTCACCAGCAGGACCTGAATGTAACAGTGTTCTCTCCACATGTGATTTCCAGCAACTGGTTTTCAGAGGCATACTGCCTTAGACAGTGGAGGTAGAACACGGCCATTGTGGTGTTGACTTGTAGCTTCTGAAGAAACCAGTATATACTCATGAAGAAGCTGTGTGTGTGTGTGTGTGTCATCAAGCTCACAGCCACATGTGTTGCTTTAAAAATTCTTGGTGAGAACTTTAAGAGACGGTTGCCTAAGCAGGAATTCAAACTCAGGAGAACATCTGACACAATTCTGCCATTTGAGAACCTTGCAAGCAAAAGGCAACACAAGAGTCACCTCCCTCCCCTTTTCAATATTTTCATGGTATGAATTACCAAGAGATTGGTTAGTAATCTATCACACCCAGTTGTTATCCACTTGATGTGTACAATTCGATCCCCTATTTGCATCTCAGCACCTTTGCATGAATGGTCTTGTAGCTATGCATTCTTTGAGTAATAGTTTTATAATGCCAAACTCTCCAAACTGATGCTGGATCCAAGCTTCTTCACACAATTAATGTGACTCTTTCCCACTAAGAGGCTGTGCAATCAGATATGCGCTTAATGTCACCTTGGCAATCCACTCAGCGTACAAGCATGCCGCTTAGGAAATCCTTCCATTCAAACTAAAAAGAAAAAGAAGAAATTTCAGTATACTGATTATGGTTAAATCAAGATTTTAATCTTGTACCTGCAGGTGCAAGAAGAGAAATGTGGCTTCTAGTTGGACTTGACACCACTTCACTTTTTTATGCTTTCTTCCAACTTCCCAAGATAATAAATTTGGAGAAAGTTGGGGGGGGGGAGGAATCATAAAACTGTTAGAGTGTTAAAAAATCTAAGGGCTGTCTTGTTCAGAGCTTGCCTGAAATGTCTTCTCTGCCCTTGTAAAGAGATGAATCTCCATCATTAGCCAGTAAATGACAATTTTTGCATCATGCAAAGATTAAGTGATAAAAATAAAAACGGCTTCTTAAGGCTTATTCCTTATAGTTTACAAGGAAAAGGGGGTCTAAATTTGTTAAACGCTCATTCATCAGATGCTTTCTAAATTGAGAAGGCTGAATTAATATAGGAAAATGTGAATGATGCTTAATCTCCTAAACCAAACTGAATCTAGGATATTAATGAGTTAGAATATTGTTTTCTGAAATGATGACCAGAAAAAATTCCCTGCAAATTCCACTTTTTAAAAACACATTTGCAATAAGCTATCTATAAATGTTCCATTCTTGCTGAATTCGGGATTTTTAAATATATTTTCCCATGGGAAACTTTGTTATTTTGTATTCTGGTTTCGTTTGTTTGTTTTGCCACCTTGGCTGCCTCAGAGGATGAGAGGTGCAATGAAGGTACTGTAGGATTATCTATTTTATTGGAACAAGTTCAGTTAGTGAGATACAGAGACCTTTATGATTCAGTACACTTGAGGCAGAATTAAAAAGCACAAGACAACAAGGCTTTATAGGCAAAACGTGATCTATGTGTGTGATGCTTAGGAGAGCAAAGCAAGAACTGTCCCTCTTTCTGCTAATAAAGAGTCTGCTTTTTTGTTCAAGGTTGGACAGGGAAGGGGAAGAGAGGGAGTTGCCGTAAGAGGATCTAATCTCAAAGAATAGTTGCGGTTACCCAAGTATTTGGATTAGTTTGTGCCCTTGTGAAAATATGCAGGAGGCATATAAATATACAAAAGCACAGGTACTGTAGCACAATGCCTATATTAGGACCAACTGAAATGGCACAAAGGGCTAAGCAAGTTTTCAGTCTTACCAGAACCCTTATTCATGCTGGATTCTTAAACTAATCAGCAACAAAAGCTGGAGTCGTCGGGGAGAGAGACCCAGTTCAAACATAACACCAAACCACAGTTCA